AGCAATTGTCCAAGTGCTCCTTCATTTCAGATGGACCTTGATTGGTCTCCTTGCTCCAGACACAGAGGAGGGAGAAAATTTCCTGAGGATTTTCCCTCCTTTGCTTGTCGGGAAAGAAATTTGTGTCATTATATCCCAACAATTCTCAATGACTGGACATCTAGCACCCTTCAGGGATTCCAGCTTTTCTCACTGGAAACAAGTCAACGTCTTTGTTCACTTCACAGAACACATTATCGTTTCAGGCACATTTCATATTTTTCAGATAACACTTGACACTTTGTCAGGACCCATTAAAGAGAAAATCTGGATCACCACAACTTTGAGAAACTATATAATGCAACATCTTGGATATCACAAATACATCCATAGTATTTGGAGCTTTGAATTTATGCAAAAAATAAGGCCAACCTATGGTGCTTTCGAAGCCTTTCCCTTTATAGACTCCCAGTATGAAGACAAGTGTTCTTTTTCAATGCATGTTTATGCTGTCGAAAGCCAGAAAAGATGCACCCAAAAAACTGCTGTGGAGACAGAAGATGAATTGAACGGGATGTTGGTTGAAAACAGTGATTCTGGTTACATTAACTTTATGACTCTGGCTCATGTCTTGAAGGCTGCACATTCATCCAGATCCCGGAGAAGAGGGAAGGAGGCCCAAGAGACACTGGAGGCTCCAAGGCTGAAGCTGTGGCAGGTATGGGGGCCCAAGAAGGATCCAACATACTAAATTCCTCAGGAGAAGAAATCCATTAGAGAAAGAGGGAAAGCATATCCTTGTGCTACAAAAGGCCAACAGATTTGGCCAATCTAGTTACTTGGGGGATAATTTACCAAGGACCTGGTACCAGATATATTTTGATGTTAAACACTTCTAATTTTAAAAGGGTGATTGCACTTTTAACAATATCCCTGTATGTATGGTTTGTGATTAGCACTGTAGAATTTTACTTTTATAAATTTGAAGGAGACCCCTGAGCCTCAGCTGAGTTCTATTTTCCCTGGGGTGAGTGGCTCATGAAATATGCTGAAATGAAGGAGGCAATTTTCAGGTGTTTATTCCTGCAAAAACTAGAACCTCATGCTTGGGACAGAGGTCCATTTCAAGTACTCTGAGTAAAAATTAGCTCAGAACTTTATACAAAATGTTCCTTTGTTGTTTACAACATGTCTTCTTTCACAAAATCAGAGTTCACACTTGGTTGATTACATTTGTCCTTTTTAGTACAGGATTGCATTTGTTGTATTTAGTACAAGATAGAAAAAAACTGTCTAATTTTGTTATTCTCAGGAATGGTATTGCTGTATGTAGTTTCTCAGTTTTGCAAGGAAGCTGGCAAAGAGGGGCACATAATGAGCCTAGTGGGTAATTCAATCAGCTATAAATTTGGTGGCTTGTTTCTAAATAACTTGATCACTTCCTGGCTGACTTGGTCTTGAAACATTATTTGAAACCTTTCCTTATTAATAGTATTCTTTTCCTATAGAAGTTATTGCTTTTCCTAATCTCTTTTTTGCTGTTGTTCACTTTAGTTGATACCTGCTGTAGAATGTTCCCTATAATTGATCAAATGTGTCTATTATATAGTCTCAATACATATGTTTTCAATATACAATTGCCTAGTTTTGCTGAACCTTTCTTATTCACTTATGAGTGGTAACCCAGTTGTCCTAATTAAGCATGTTTGCACATTAAGAAAAAAAAACAGTAGAAGAAAAATTCATGCATGAAAATATCAGGTAGAATAAAAAAAAGTTTTCTGCTTTTAAAATTCCTTTACATTTCCATTCTAGTTCCATCCCTTTCTGGAGAAGAATGAGTTCCACAATCTTTCCCACTGGAAACTTTACCTGGACCATAATGGAGAAATAGCTGCAGATTTGGACATTGAGTTCATGGTGATTTTGCCAGAGGGGGATTTGATCAAAAGGAAACTGGGGAGTGTTGAAAGACAGAGAGTTATTATTAATGAAATTGCTCTTTCCTCTCTAAATCTGCTCAACAAGGTCAAATATTGCTGTGTTTTCTCTTTTTTTCTAAAGATTATGACCCATTTCAAGTGGGTTAATTCTAGTCACCAATGTGGATGACCCTTACTGGGAGTTGAATGTACAGAAGAGAAAAGTTAACATTTTGTTAGATGGACTGTGGGGACTTTAGTACCATTCACAAAAGTGTCCTTCAGATACTATGATAAAGAATATTCTTCTAAATGGATTTAGTCATGTCCAATATTGGATGCTGGGTAATTATTCTTTAGGATGGAGACCAGGGATCAAGCTGATGAGAAATATTCAGGTGCTGGCATTTGTGTTGCTAATAGCTTCAGGTTATTTTAACCAGTGTCTGCATTAAAGTTTGGACTGAATCAGATCAGAGGTGGGATTCTACCAGTTCGGCCCGGATCTGCTATACTGGTAGCTCCGAAGATCAGCTGACAACAAATCGGTTCGTTCCGACAATCTTCAATTCTTCTGTTTGGTCCACTTGCCTGCCTGGCCTCTAGGCTGTCCTTTATTTCCTGCTTTTTCAACCTCAGCTGCTTTGTGTGGCACAGCTGAGGTTGAAAAAGGAGGAAATAAGATTCAAATGTTGTTCATGGGCATATGCACAAAGCACGTGTGTATGCACGCAAAATGCACGTTCACCAAACCGGTTATTACACTGGTTGAATCCCACCCCTGAATCACATGAAATATAGTCATGACTGCTTCAAGGTCCTGTTGGTCCATGTGAGAAATAAGCCTCACTTTGTCCAGATTGAGGAACATCTCTCTTGAAAGGTCACAGGTTGAATAGGATAGAATAACAGAGTTGGAAGGAACCCTGGAGGTCTTCTAGCCCAACCCCCCTGCCTAGGCAGGAAGCCATGATATTCTATAATGTTTTTAAGACCTCTAAACTTGACCAGAATTATCCATATCTCTCTTTCACCCCACTGGGATAAAGCAATAGGCCTTCTGCTCCTCTGAAGAATCTCCAAAAATATATATGTTTCACATGAAATCATAAAGGTTGTTTTGATGGGAGATAATGCCCATAACCTGGAAAACTGAAGCACTGAAACAAGACTTTGGAAGAAAAAACACTTTTTCATTCTGGAAGTAACAAGGGAGAATTTGAAAGGAGATGCTACTTAGATTTGGGCTTTGGCTTGTAAGATCTTGTTGGAAGAAATATCCTTCTGAGTTCAGTTCCAAATGGGGAAAAAGACACTGGAAACATGGAGGCTGTTTGCAAAGATGGTTTAATGGTGTACAGGATCACATGGCTTGGAGCTCTTGGGCGAAGAAAAGGGAAGAGATGCTTAGAGTCCTTGGGTTTTATACCCTCTCTGAACTGAACTTCCTGGGACACAGGAAAAGTATTCTGATTGGTTGCTGTCAGAGGTCATAGCTAGTTTTTTAGGTTGTCCGTGTGCTAAGTTTGGTTGAAACTTGGTGAGTGGTGCAACAAAAGTCAATTAAATGGCTCTGCCTGAAGGAGGTAGATCTTTGTTATGTAGAATAGACTGGGCCAGGCCTTAATGGCCCATGAAAAAAGGTGGGAGGGTGAGCTTCTGCCTCTTTGAGTTTCTACTGCTCTTTTAGGGGAAATATTCTTCCTTTTTAGTATATCCTAAAATATTTCATTTTTTCTAGGGGTGGGTTTTAACTGCCAACAATCTGAATGCAATTTTTTTAAACTTTATTGTTAGCTACATAAAGTCCCTCTGAGCAAAAAGAAGGATTCAAATTTAACTAATAAGAAATGTATACTTTTCTTTCCATGTAAGTTGGTGTCCCCTAGTTGTACTTCTTTGGTAGAAAAAGACCCAGATGCAGAGCTGGACACAAATCTCCTAATCTTGTCTTGCTTGCTGAAGATGAAAAGATCCCTTTTTGAGGGACAAGTTCTGGTCTTCATCTACTGCACTGCTTCATAGTTCTAGAAACTAGGCAGTCCGTTTTAGTCTTATTTGAGAGCTGTATGAATTAAAGAAAGCCCTAATTTTAAAGGATTTTCCCCCTTTATATTTTAATTGAGGAATGGTTTTGGACTACTTTCAAAGGGAAGAAGTTCTGCAATGTTTTACATACTCCAGAAGAAGCCTATCCAGATCCTACCGGTCCAAAGTTTCTTTCTTTACTACAATTATATTTTATTTAATAAATCTAATATAATAAAAATTAAATAAATCTTTTACAATCATTTATTTTCCAAAATTTAATGCAAGATCATTGCACTGTACTTTAAAATCATAGGTATGTCGAAAATGGAGAAATGTATGTTAAAACAAACTTGTTGTCACTTAAGGCTTAAATCTTTTCAATTCCATCCCTCCAGTCAGTGGTGGGGTTCAATTTTTTTTTATTACCAGTGCTGTGGCCATGGCTTGGTGGGCGTGGCTTGGTGGGCATGTCAGGGAAAGGATACTGCAAAATCTCCATTCCCTACCCACCCCACTAACCTGCTTTCCAGCTCTGTTCTCCTGTTCAAGGCAACAAAAGAAGACCCAGCCAATCAGCTGGGACTCGGGAGGCAGAGAATAGATGGGGCAGAGCCAGTCAGAGGTGGCATCCACTACCAATTCTCCAAATGATTCAAAATTTCCACTACCAGTTTTCTAGAATTGGTCAGAACCTGCTGAATACCATCTCTGCCTCAGAGGTGGTATTCAGCAGGTTCTGACCGGTTCTGTAGAACCGGTAGCGGAAATTTTGAGCAGAGAACCGGCAAATACCACCTCTGACTGGAGATTTTAAAATATCCTTCCCCTGCCACACCCACCAAGCCACGCATACAGAACCGGGAGTAAAAAAAATTGAATCCCACCACTGCTCTGCCTCCAGTCTTTCTTAAGTTGAAAAATCCGTTATTTCAATGTTAGATAACAAGATCAAAGGGGAGTGAGTAAATGAACAATCTGCCAGCATTTATCTCTCCTGAATCTGTTTGGAATGAGTCAATGATTTCACCTTTATTTAAGTGAAGCCCAGAAACTATTTGGCTAATGTTAATGTCTACCTCCATTTTCATGCATGCTTTGTCCCAATCTATTTTCTTTCAAATTCCTTTCTTTTCTGCTTAGTCTCTGCCTCAGTCCCAACGTGTGGAAAATTGTCGTCCTGGATTTGTCAAGCAAAAGCAAGAAGGAGAGCCCATTTGCTGCTTTGACTGTGTTCCCTGTCCTGAGGGGACCATCTCCATTCATGAAGGTGGGGGACACCAAGGAAAAGGGTGGGCCTTGTGCAAGTGGGTTCATCTGGAACACTGTCATGAAAGTGCAAATTAAAAGACAAATTGAAGCTCAAATGGTTTTTTTTTTTGTTTTTGCCAGCAATTCGGCAGTTTGATTCTCACCTGGTTCAAGGTTGACTCAGCCTTCTATCCTTCCATGGTTGGTAAAATGAGGACCCAGATTGTTGGGGGCAATAGACTGACTCTGTAAACTGCTTAGAGGGGGCTGTAAAACATATGAAGCAGTTCATAAGTCTAAGCACTGTTGCTATTGCTATTATTTTCAAATTTCACAATTTCATATCTAGAGGGAAGAATAGCAGAAAAGCCCTGAGGGAGGGCCTAGGAAGAGATAGGAAGGTTTAGTAGATTGGACAAGCTTCTCTACTGCCAGAAAATAAATCTCTTCTGCTTTTTAGTTTGGATTCCAGATTATTTGCAGAACTAACTTTTTCCCCTAGCTAATTAGATTTCAAAAGATAGGCATTCAGAGTCAAGTATATGAAGAAGTGCTATCTGTCAGGATCCAGGAAATGTGCCAGAAAAAATTAATTGATTCATTATCTACCTGTAATAATGTAGGTTCTGCAAACTGCACAATCCAGGTTCCAGGACTTTTTTCAATTTCATAAACTATAAAAATATGGCTGTTATTTTTAAGAAAATGATATTCTTCTTACCTTCTCTCTGTAGATATTTTAAGCAATGCTTCTCAGAAAATGCTGCTGGTAGCAATTGTGGTTACAAGAAGGTATTTCATGAAACTACAAAATATTTAAAAAATATTGTTGTTTTTTTTTTTTTTACACAGATACAGAAAAATACACCAAGTGTCCAGATGAAAAATATCCAAATGAGGACAGGATCCAATGTATTCCCAAAGTTATATCCTTCCTTTCTTATGGAGAACATCTGGGAATCATTCTGGTCTCTTTTGCCCTATTCTTGTTCTTAGCTACAGGCCTTGTTTTAATCATATTCATTAAACATCTAGAAACTCCCATTGTGAAAGCCAACAACCGAGACCTCTCTTACATCCTCCTGGTCTCCCTCCTGCTTTGCTTCTTGTCTTCTTTTCTCTTCATTGGTCAACCAAGGAAAGCTACTTGCCTTCTGCGACAAACAGTTTTCAGTATCATCTTCTCAATTGCCATTTCTTCTCTCTTGGCCAAAACCATCACAGTGGTGCTGGCTTTCCTTGCCACAAAACCAGGAAACCGAGTGAAGAGATGGTTGGGGAAGAGCTTGGCCAACTCCATCATCCTTTCTGGTTCTAGTGTCCAAATTATGATCTGCTCCATCTGGTTGGGAATTTCTCCCCCATTCTGTGACTCTGACCTCCACTCCCAGCCTGGAGAGATCATCCTGCAATGCAACAAAGGGTCTGTTCTCATGTTCTACATCACCCTCAGCTACATGGGCTTCCTGGCTGTCATCTGCTTCACAGTGGCTTTCATGGCCAGGAATCTGCCTGCAGCCTTCAATGAAGCCAAGCTGATTACCTTCAGCATGCTGGTCTTCTGCAATGTTTGGGTCTCCTTCCTGCCCACCTACCTGAGCACCAAAGAGAAATACATGGTGGCTGTGCAGGTCTTCTCCATCTTGGCCTCCAGTGCTGGTCTGCTGGTCTGTATCTTCATCCCCAAGTGCTACATTATCATTTTGAGGCCAAACTTAAATACAAAGGAGCATCTTACAACCAGAAGAAATATATAAATGTGAGTTAGAGGAAGGTGCTAAGAGATAAAGATGGGTCCTGACCTCATTCAGAAAACATGATCTTAATTTTTGGAAATGGAAGTTTGCAAGGACATCCCACTCAAATAAAGAATTCCTCCTGAAATTAGCACATAGGTTTTCAAATTACCAGAAATAAGTTTGGTTGGGTGTATCATAGCTATATCTTTCTAGCACCCAAGAAGTTCTCAGCATTTCTCATCCCTTCGCGGACCAGGATAAATATGTAGTATTTAAGAACTGTGCCACGATCTGCAACTATAACCAATGTGGAGAAAGTCTGGTTTTGCTGATGCATCTGCAGGAACACATAGTCAACCCTGGAGCCATCTTGCAATGTCTTCAGTGTTGCCACAATGAGGCAGGATAGAGCTGTGGGAAAGGGAGCGGGAGTAGAGATAGCTGAGGGGAATATGTAGCCAAAATAACATTATTTCTTCTGGGAACCAAGGACACTATCATCAACACCTGGAGGGGCATGGATGGGAACCATCTGGATATGGGACTGATTGGGGCATGTAATGGTTGTGTGTAATGGAGGGAAGAAGTTTGGATTTTGAATTGGGTGGGGAAAACTCAAGGAATTTCAGAATCGGGTTTCCACCAGCTGTGCCAATATAACATGCCTAATAATTCTGTACTTTGAGGAAGCGTCTGGCCTTGGAGTTTTGATTTCATCTGGGCTGTTACTTGGGACCCCCACAATGGCCAAGTTTTTTACAGTGTCTTCTGTTATTCTGTTGTTTTAGAGAAAAACTGTTAATCATATACATGTGCCAATTTTCTTCAAACCATGTATGTGATTAACTTAGTTTTCAAAGATTGGTATGAAATGTTTTGTTTATTTTTTTAACTCTGTTCATTTTTTAATTTTTCTTCTTCTCTGAGTCCTCCTTTGAATGATGTATTTCGTTGAATATAGCTGAGCTAATCTTTAATTTGCAATCTTGCACAGAACATTGGATTAAATTAAATTCCTGCAGGTATATATCCTCTGTGTGTGTTTGTGTGTGTGTGTGTGCGCGCGCGCGCGTGCATGTCTCTGTGTGTGTATGTGCATGTAAATTCCATGGCATTTTCCTAACTGTTCTTCTATCAATCCTCAAAGGAAATATTGAATATTTATCTTTAAATTCTTCTGTATTTGAAAACTATTTTAAATCTTTTTTGCATGTCCACTGAGCCTAATAAAATGCCCCTTCACATTTTTCACATTTCCAACTCTACAAAGCTTTTCAATAAAAAAGCCCATGATGTAATATCTGGAAATCTGTTTTAGTCAAATTGGTTTGAGAACCTTTGTCAGTGTAATTGCTCTCATCTTTGTCCTCAGTGCTCCTCAACTTACTATTAAGTCTTTCCCAAATTGAAGCAGGTAGAAAGGACAAAATGTTCAAAACCCTTTTAAAAAAAACCAGCATTGTGGGGGATTTCTGGATTTCTCAGGGAACTTTATCCATTTTCTTTGGAGTTGCCAGCTCAAACTTCTCCCAGATCACAACACCATATCATGCACCAGGCACCTTGACCTTCCTTGTTCAGATCAGGGCAAATCTCAGTAATTTTATCCAGAGAAAGTTTTTGAGACATTTCATTTAAAGTTTGGAAGACATGGACTTTGGAGAGAATTTTATTCAAGAAATTAAACATGTCAGAATTATATTGAATGGTGATCTAACTAAAGCAGGAGATATCCAAAAGAGGACAAGACAAGTTTATCTTTTGTCTCTTTTATTTTTTTTTTCTTTTAGCTCTTGAGAAGTTACCTTGTCATAGCCAAGGGGAAAGAAGAGCAGAAGGAAGATTCCATTAGGTTAGTTTCCTAACAAAAGAATTAAGATTACAATGAGTAACAATTGGCTCAGAGGTAGTATTCTGTAGGTTATGACCAGTTCTGGTCAGAATTTTGAGCCGTTTGGAGAACCGGCAGTAACCTTCCCCCAGGAATGGGAGGGAATGAAGATTTTTACAGTATTCTTCCCCTGCCGTGGTCACCAAGCATTGCCACACCCACCAAGCCATGCCCACAGAACCGGTAGTAAAAAAATTTAAATCCCACCACTGAATTGGCTGCAATAACATTCCAAGGAGCGTCAGCCTCTATATAAGACTGGATTCCTTCTGTTCAATGGGAAAAACATTTAGCTCAAGTGTAATCCCTGGATATGAATTTCACTCTTGAACCTTAGATCTTTACAACCTTGACTCTGCTCTTGAGCCTTTCCATGCT